TTTCTGTTTGGATGATCTGTCCATTGGTGTAAGTGAGGTGTTAAAGTCCCCTACTATTATTGTGTTACTGTTGATTTCTTCTTTTATAGCTGTTAGCACTTGCCTTATGTATCGAGGTGTTCCTGTGTTGGGTGCATATATATTTTGAATTGTTATATCTTCTTAGTGGATTGATCCCTTGAATATGTAGTGTCCTTCCTTGTCTCTTGTAACATTCTTTATTTTCAAGTCTATTTTATCTGATATGAGTATTGCTACTCCAGCTTTCTTTTGATTTCCATTTGCATGGAATATCTTTTTCCATTCCCTCATTTTCAGTCTGTATATGTCCCTAGGTCTGAAGTGAGTCTCTTGTAGACAGCATATATATGTTTTTGTATCCATTCAGCCAGTCTGTGTCTTTTGGTTGGAGCATTTAATCCATTCTCGTTTAAGGTAATTATAGATATGTATGTTCTTGTTAGCATTTTCTTAATTGTAATGGGATTGTTTTTGTAGGTCCTTTTCTTCTCTTGTGTTTCCCAGTTACAGAAGTTCCTTTAGCATTTGTAGAGCTGGTTTGGTGGTGCTGAATTCTCTTAGCTTTTGCTTGTCTGTAAAGCTTTTGATTTCTCTGTCAAATCTGAATGACATCCTTGCCAGGTAGAGTAATCTTTGTTGTAGGTTCTTCCCTTTCATCACTTTAAATATATCATGCCATTCCCTTCTGGCTTGTAGAATTTCTGCCGAGAAATCAGCTAACCTTATGGGAGTTCCCTTGTATGTTATATGTCGTTTTCCCCTCGTTGCTTTCAATGACTTTTCTTTGTCTTTGATTTTTGTCAATTTGATTATATGTGTCTCAGCGTGTTTCTCCTCGGGTTTATCCTGCCTGGGACTCTCTGCGCTTCCTGGACTTGGGTGGCTGTTTCCTTTACCATATTAGGGAAGTTTTCAACTATAATCTCTTCAAATAGTTTCTCGGGTCCTTTCTCTCTCTCTCTTCTCCTTCTGGGACCCCTATCATGCGAATGTTGTTGTGTTTAATGTTGTCCCAGAGGTCTCTTAGGCTGTCTTCATTTCTTTTCCTTCTTTTTTCTTTATTCTGTTCCATGGCAGTGAATTCCACCATTCTGTCTTCCAGGTCACTTATCCGTTCTTCTGTCTCAGTTATTCTGCTATTGATTCTTTCTAGTGGATTTTTCATTTCATTTATTGTACTGTTCATCTCTGTTTGTTCTTTAATTCTTCCAGGTCTTTGTTAAACATTTCTTGCATCTTCTCCATCTTTGCCTCCATTCTTTTTCCGAAGTCCTGCATCATCTTCACTATCATCATTCTGAATTCTTTTTCTGGAAGGCTGCCTACCTCCACTTCACTTAGTTGTTTTTCTGGAGTTTTATCTTGTTCCTTCATCTGGTACATAGCCCTCTGCTTTTCATCTTGTCTATCTGTGAAGGTGGCTTTTGTTCCACAGGCTACAGGATTGTAGTTTTTCTTGTTTCTGCTGTCTGTCCTCTGGTGGATGAGGCTATCTAAGAGGCTTGTGCAAGCTTCCTGATGGGAGGGACTGGTGGTGGGTAGAGCTGGGTGTTGCTCTGGTGGGCAGAGCTCAGTAAAACTTTAATCCACTTGTCTGCTGATGGGTGGGACGGGGTTCCCTCCCTGTTAGTTGTTTGGCCTGAAGCAACCCAACACTGGAGCCTACCCGGCTCTTTGGTGGGGCTAATGGCAGACTCTGGGAGGGCTCATGTTTAGGAGTACTTCCCAGAACTTTTGCTGCCTGTGTCCTTGTCCTCATGGTGAGCCACACCCTCCCCGCCCCCCCCTCCCCTGCCCCCGGCCTCTGCAGGAAACCCTCCAACACTAGCAGGTAGGTCTGGTTCAGTCTCCCCTGGGGTCACTGCTCCTTCCCCTGGGTCCCGATGCGCACACTAGTTTCTGTGTGCCCTCCAAGAGGGTAGTCTCTGTTTCCCCCAGTCCTGTCGAAGTCCTGCAGTCAAATCCCACTAGCCTTCAAAGTCTGATTCTCTAGGACTTCCTCCTCCCATTGCCGGACCCCCAGGTTGGGAAGCCTTACATGGGGCTCAGGACCTTCACTCCAGTGGGTGGAATTCTGTGGTATAAGTGTTCTTCAGTCTGTGAGTCACCCACCCATCAGTTATGGGATTTGATTGTATTGTGATTGTGCCCCTCCTGCCGTCTCATTGTGGCTTCTCCTTTGTCTTTGGATGTGGGGTATCTTTTTGGTGAGTTCTAGTGTCTTCCTGTCGATGATTGTTCAGCAGTTAGTTATGATTCTGGTGCTCTACACGAGGGAGTGAGCACACGTCCTTCTACTCCGCCATCTTGAACCAATCTGGTAGGTTGTCTTTTGATTTTGTTGATGATTTCCTTCAGTGTGCAGAAGCTTTTTAGTTTGTTTATTTTTGCTTTTGCTGCCTTTGCTTTTGGTGTCAAATCCAAAAAATCGTTGCCAAGACTGATGTGAAGGAACTTCCTGCCTGTTTTCTTCTAGGAGTTTTATGGTTTAAGGTCTTATGTTCAAGTCTTTAATCCATTTGAGTTGATTTTTCTGTATGGTGTAAGATAGTGGTCCAGTTTTATTCTTTTGCATGTGGCTGTCCAGTTTTCCTGACACTATTTATTAAAGAGACTGTATATTCTTGTCTCCTTTGTCATGAATTAATTGACCACAAAAGTGTGGTTTTATTTCTGGGCTTTTAATTCTGTTCCATTGATCTGCATGTCTCTTTTTATGCCAGTATCATACTATTTTGATCACTATAGCTTTGTAATATGGTTTGAAGTCAGGAAATGTGATGCCTCCAGCTTTGTTCTTTCTCAAGATTTCTTTGACTATCTGGGGTCTTATGTGGTTCCATACATATTTGGGGATTGATTTTTCTCTTTTTGTGAAAAATATCATTGGAATTTTGATAGGGATTGCATTGAACCTGTAGATTCCTTTGGGTGGTATACACATTTTAATAATATTAATTCTTCCAATTCATGAGTGCAGAATATCTTTCCATTTATTTGTGTCATCTTCAGTTTCTTTCTTCAGTGTCTTACAGTTTTCAGTGTACAGGTCTTTCACCTCCTTGGTTAAACTTATTCCTAGGTATTTTATTCTCTTTGATGTTCTTTAATCTCTTATAATCTAGAACAGCCCCACTGCTTTTGTTTCCCATATTTGGATCTTTTGAAGGCACCAGGCTGGTTGTTTTACGGAACTGTCCCACTTTCTGGATTTATCTGATTGTTTCCTCATGGTGGTATTTAACTTGTTCATCTGTTATCTGAATGTCCTATAAAGGAGAAGTTAGGTCACACAGCTTGATGAAGTTCAGATTACACATTTTTGGCAAGTATACTTGAGAGGTGATGCTGGGTACCTCATACAGCATCACACATTGTTGGAGTATCTCACGATTAGTGATGCTAAGTCTGACCATGGCTTTAAGGTCTTGGCTACCAGATCTCTCCATCGAAAGTTGCATCCTCCCCTTGGCAATGATCAGTTTCTTTGTAGGGTGATTCTTTGGCAGTGTGCAGATGACACATTTTCCTGTCATCCTTTTCACCTATACTTGTTTTGATATCTAGTTTTGATGCTTACCTATTGTATTAGAGTTGCAAAATGGTAAGTTGCCAATTCTATCATTCCTTCTACGTGTATTGGCTGAGATTTTTCCATAAAGTTGAGCTTTGCCCCATCAACTGGGCTTTCCTTGAGCTCTGATATCTGTATTTTTTTTTTATCGAAGTATAGTTGATTTACAATGTTGTGTTAACTTCTGCTCTACAGCAAAGTGACTCAGTTATACATATACATACATTCTTTTTCATATTCTTTTCCTTTATGGTTTATTCCAGGATATTGAATGTAGTTCCCTGTGCTATACAGTAGGACCTTGATATCTGTTTTTTTGTTTGTTTGTTTGTTTGTTTTTGGCGGTACGCGGGCCTCTCACTGCTGTGGCCTCTCCCGCTGCGGAGCACAGGCTCCGGACGTGCAGGCTCAGCGGTCACGGGTCACGAGCCTAGCCGCTCCGCGGCATGTGGGATCTTCCCGGACCAGGGCACGAACCCGTGTCCCCTGCATCGGCAGGCGGACTCTCAACCACTGCATCACCAGGGAAGCCCCCTGATATCTGTATTTTTAAGAAGCTCCAAGTGACTGTTTAGATAGATTCTAATCAGGATCCTTTGATGACACAGAAAACACCTCATACTAGCTCCAGATTAAAAGGAGGGTCCCTAGGCACTTCTCTGGCAGTCCAGTGGTTAAGACTCCGTGCTCCCATGGCAAGGAGCATGGGTTCGCTCCCTGGTCGGGGAACTAAGATCCCGCATGCCATGTGGTGTGGCCAAAAAATAATAATAAAATAAAAAATAAAAGGAGATGCTTGGCAAGACACAGGGGGCTCTCCCGTGTCCAGCCACAGGAAGTACAGCTTGGCTTAATGGGAATTGCAAGTGGTGCAGGTGCTCCTTTCTTGGGCTGTTTTCTCTGCCGCCGTCTGCATATTGGCTACTTTCCACGGAAATATGCCTTCTCTGAGGCTCTGCTTCCCCATGTCTTGGCTTCAGACAAGGATTTAGGCAGGCTCCAGGCCTCTTATCTGTCTGGGTGTCATAACTCATACGCCCTCAGCAGAGAATCTCGCTCATCTCAGGAAGCTGTCCATCGGCAGCGGCCTGTGGAGAACACACACCCCAGCGGCGGCTGGGCGGTTCAGGAGAGCAAGGGGTTGGAGGGGTGCCGCTGGGGCATGGCTAAGACTTCCTCTGGGTTACTCATCTCAGGGGCTCCGTGACCCTCCAGGTACTGATTCAGGCCTCCAGGCCCAGACCCCTTAAGAGACAGAGATGGGCTTTGCATTTCTCAGCCCAGAAATGTCTCCTGACCAGGTGCCCCAGAAGTTAATTCCGTCTACCTGTGCTCCGAGTCCTTCCAGGCCTAGGATTCCAGCAGCACCGTCTGAGCAGCCCTTGTCTCCTCCTCTTCCCCGCAGCCTGCCGTGGAGGTGCCCCAGTATGTGGGTATCCGGCTTCTAGTAGAGGGCTCCACCATCAAGAAGCCCCTGGCGATGTGTCACCGGCAAATAGAAGTCCGCCCAGCCCTCCCTCACCTGCTGACCCAGCGAGGCTCTGGGGAAGGCAAGGACTCTGGAACCCTTACCCACAGGTCAGCTTCTAGGAAAGTTGCTGGGGCCAGGAGCCCGGGGCACACTGAGAAGCCAGACTCCACTGCCACCACCTCGGCCCCTGGAAAGGGGAAGAAAGGCAAGGCGAAAAGTGCCACAGCCCTGGTCCGCCCCAGTCTCCGGAAGTGGGACCCCCGGCAGCACGATGATGGGCTGCATTTTCACCATGACCTTTGCTAGTGGGGACAGGCATCCCCACCCCTTGAACAGATTGCCATTGAGTCTGAAGAACCCCCAGGCCCTGGGTAAGACCATTCCCCCAGAACACCCCAGGGTCTCAAGGCAATTTCTTCCTGCTCTCCAGGCCCCTCCTAACCATCTGGATTTGTCCCCACCCAAGAGCCACCGGTAGTGAGTAAAAGCCACCACTTACAAAAGTATTTTTAAAAAACACACAACCAAATGAGTATCGTCCCCTCCAAAGTAGTCACTCAGCCAGGCAGTTGTGCTCATTTCAAAGATGCCAGGACTCAGTCCCAGGTTGATCTCTCTCCAGAGCCCAATCTTTTCCTGCTGCAGTATTCTGTCTTTGCCTCCATGCAAAGTCACCTTGTGGAAAGGAACTAATACTTGTACAGCACTTAACAGTTTACACTGTGTTGATACCTGACCAGCTCCTTTAGTCCTCACAACCTAGTGAGGTAGGTGCTATTATCCCCATTTTCCAGCTGAGGTATCAGGAAATTTAAGGAAGTTGCCCGAGGTTGCACAGCTCAGAAGGGGCAGAGCTGGGATGCAGACCCAGGTCTGTTGGACTCCAAACCCTGTGTTCTTCCCACAGCCTCTGGAGAAGGAACCGGGTGGGCTCCATCTGCCCTCACACACCCCAGCCGTCAGCTCCCCTGCCTCCCCGCCCTCCATGCACACCTGGAGGGGCAGCTGGTCAGCCTGGGGCTCCCCAGGCCCTCACAGCCCATCACCACTTCCCCACCCTCCACAGCACAGCACAGCAGCCTTCTCCCCGTGTGCTCCGACCCCAGGGGCGGGGCCTCAGACTGCAGCCCAGCAGGCTGGTGGGCTCTGAGGCCCTGTCGACCACAGGCAAGGCCTTGATGACTCTACCTACTGCCAAGGTTTTGATTTCCCTCCCACCTAACCCTGAGCTCAAGCTGGAGCCCAACGCCCTGAAACCAAGAAAGGTGGGCCTCGAACGGTGACCCATACCCTGATGGGCAATGCTGAGAACTGGGGTTAGGGCTGGAAGGGCACAGGTAGAGGGTAGCTCCCAGGCTGGCCTGAGCCCCAAGGGAAGGGCTTGTATCCCTCAGAACCCCCTTCCTGAACAGATTCCTGATCTTCTCTCCCCTTCTCTCCTCCTTTCACACCGAGGCTCCTGCTCCCCAGCGCTTTCATGGTCCCCCACTTGGAAATAACTTGTGGTCTCAACCCTTTGAAGTCGGAAATCTTCCTAGCACCCGTAGGAAGATCAAGGCCAAAGGCAACTTCAAGGCCAGACTCTGCGACAAACCCAAGGCTGAGACATGCCTCATGGCGACACTGAGCCTTCCGGGACCCCTGCCCCTTATCAGTGCACACCAGGGTCTGGGGGGCATGAGGGACGTGTGGCTACAGAAGTCCTTGCTTCGATCGTCACTGCCCTTATCCTGGACGCAGCACCAAGGAAAAAAGCAAATGAAGTACTTGAGGCTTGGCTTCTTTTCTCTTAGAGGGTGAAGAGAGAGTAGGGTGCGGCTCTGTACCCCAAGGTCCAGAACAAGAGCTAGAGGCCATCAGCAACTCCTCCACAAAGCAAGGCCCAGACTTCCCACCCAGTGACAGACATGAGGCATCCTGTCCAGGGACTCCCCTGGCATCTCTGATCTCGGGGTGGGAGGATAAGTCTCATGTTACAGATGAGGAAACTTGAGTCTGAACGAGGAGACATGGCTTGCCCAAGATCATGTGGCAGTGAGCAGAAGGCTGGGACACATTACCACGACTGCTGAGCCCTGTGGGTCTCCCCAGTCCCCAAGCCCAGAGGAGGAGCTGGGCTGGCAGCAGAATGACATCTAATGGGCACAGATTTACAGCAGGAGACACAGCAGAAGAGTGGACCCAGCCCTTCTCCAGATGAAGTGGGTCTCTCCCTTCCTCTGCAAGGGGCCAAGGTCACCTAAAAAGGAAATATCCAATAAGCCACACCCATCTGAAAAAGTTTGGTATTTCTTAATTGTAATGGGTTGAACATTGGTATGTCTTCCTGGAACCTGTCAATATGACTTTATTTGGAAAAAAGGGTCTTTGTAGATGTAAGTACGTTAAAGATTTTTAGATGAGATCATCCTGGATTATCCAGATGGGGCCTAAATCCAATGACAAGCATCCTTACAAGAGACAAGAGAAGACAAACAGAGGAGAAGGGCATGTGGAGACAGAGGCAGAGACTGGTGTGATGCAGCCACAGGCCGGGAAGAGGCAAGGAAGGATTCTCACCGAGAACCTTCAGGGAGAGCACAGCCCTGCTGACACCTTGATTTTGGACTTATGGCCTCCAGAACTGGGAGACAATCCATTTCTGTTGTTTTATGCCCCTCAGGTTGTGGTAATTTGTTGCAGCAGAAGCCCTAGGAAACTAACACACTAGTCAAATGAAGATACATAAATTCTGTATATTTATGAATCCGGTCTTGCACAGCTGGACCAGGAGATGCGTACTAGCAGGCTCACAGCAGCACTGTGGTAACAGTTGACGACCTAAGTGTCCATTAACAGTCAGATGGGTAGACTGCAAGCTCTGACATTCCAACTCCACGCCACACAACGGATGCATTTCACAGCGTAGAGCGAGAGCAAGTCTCAAAAGGATATATGCAGCACATTCCATTCCAACAGAAACTTCAGAAACAGGGCAAAATGAAATATTTTGTTTAGGGATGCATGTATATGTGGTAAAACTCTACAGAAGAAAGAAAGAATTCTCCCAAGTCTGGGCAGTGGTTTCCAACCTTGACTGAACAACAGTACCCATTCCAGAGCTTTTAAAAAAGATCTGATGCCAGGGTCTCCATCCCAGACTGGTGAAACCAGCATCTTTGGGGTGCAGTCATGGGAGGCATGGGTGTTTTTTTTTTAAGCTTTCTGAGTGGGCAGGGTAGGGGCTTCTCATGTCGGGCCAGGGTTGAGAGCTGCTGTTGTTTAGGATAGAAGGGATGCTTCTATTTTGTGCCGAGTGGTGGTTATGTGGGTGTCACCTTAGAGTTAATTCTTTAAATCGCAGAGATGTTTTATGCACTCTATGTTTCACATAGTTCACGTTTTTTTAAAGTGAAAGATCTAACATCTTCACTTAAATGAGTAGTCAAATACATAGAGACAGATGACATAACGGTGGCAACTGGGGCTGGGAGGGGTGGGGGAGGGGGAGTTGGTATTTAATGGGGAGAGTTTCAGTCTGGGAAGATGAGAAAGTTCTGGAGATGGATGGTGGTGATGGCTGCACGACAGTGTGAATGTCCTTAATGCCACTGAACTGTACACTTAAAAATGGTTAAGACGGTAAATTTTATTAGGTGTATTTTACCACAGTTGTTTTTAAAACCTAACATTTTCTCTCAGCTAGAACTGGGCCAGAAACAGCCAAATATAAAGACCACATACTGAACTCAGCAGAAACCACGGTCCATGATAAACATTTTCTTTCTCAACAAATCCTGAAAACGATACTATGAGGGTAGGTACTTTTATTATCGCAGGTCCAGAGAGGTGAAGTCATTTGCCCAACACCACACAGCAAGTGACCTTAGGATGTGATCTTAAGTTTGTCCAACTACAGAGGATCTTACACTGTGGCCTTCTGCGTGTTGAGCAATGACCTCACTCTCCTCGGGCCTGGCTGCAGCCCATTGGCCCTCCAACCCCCACTGCTTTCCAGCGGGAACAGAAGGACTATTGGTAGTGGAGCCCCAGGCAATGCAGGGTCCTGGAGAAATAAGAGGGCAAAGGTGCCAGAAGCTTGATGGGTGGGTCCCTGGGCCTGGCACCTGGGAGGTAGAGACAATGCAGGTGGAGGTGCAGGGGCAGCTGGGCAGCCTGGGAGGGGGTCAGGTGGAGGCGGCTGAGGAGGGCTTCATCCAGGACCTGGGGTGGGAGAGACATGTCAGCATTGAGCCAGGTGAGCTCTAAGCAAAATGGGAGTGAGGCAAGTACTTCCTCCTCCCTCTGCGTCGGTGTTCTGCATGCCTCTCTACACGTACACACGTACACACTCAAACACACACGCTACGGCAGAGACCAGCTAGGGGGTCACCGAATCAGTTTCCTGGGCATTCCGTGAAACTACATTTCCCAGCCCCTCCTGCAGGTTGGTGAGGCCGTGTGATTGAGCCCCACTGAATGCCACAGGAGTGTAAGCATGTATCCCGCTTCCAGATCTGGCCCGAGAAAACCTCCCCCGTGAACCTGCCCTGTCTCCTCCTCCGCTGGCTGGATAGCCACAGCCTGGGTCCCTGAATGACCCATGCTTGGAGCAAGCCCATCTCTACCCTACCGCCATTAATTGGACTTAACACGGAAGGAAGTTATTGTGTTAAGGCTCTGGTACTTGAGGTTATTCTGTTAGAGCAGACAGAGTGACCCAAATAGACACACACACCCTCTTTTACCCCTTATATCAAAAAGAATGGCAGGGCTTCCCTGGTGGCGCAGTGGTTGAGAGTCCGCCTGCCGATGCAGGGGACACGGGTTTGTGCCCCGGTCCGGGAAGATCCCACATGCCGCGGAGCGGCTGGGCCCGTGAGCCATGGCCGCTGAGCCTGCGCGTCCGGAGCCTGTGCTCCGCAGTGGGAGAGGCCACAACAGTGAGAGGCCCGCGTACCGCAAAAAAAATAAAAAGAATGATTCAGATGTTCTGGGTTTTAGGGAGGGATGATCAGGTAACTAAGACTCGAAAAGGGAGCTCCCTGGGTCCCTGGCAATAGCAGTGCTGTGACTATTACTATCACTAGGGTGATCCAGAGGGCATATTTACCCCCAGAGAACAGCCCAAAGGAAGGCCCTGGGGGGAAGGGAGGATAGAAGGGTCAGCAGAAGTCCCTGGAAAAAAAAAAAAAAAAAAAAAAAAAAAAAGAATGGCAGACTTAGAAGGGCCTTTAGAAATCAGCCAGTTCGACTTCCTTATTGAACAGTTGGGCAGAAAGAGACCCAAGAGAGGGGGTTTCACTTGCTCAGGGCCACAGAGCAAGACAGGGCTATAGGGAGCTATGGAAGCCCAAGCTGCATAGCTAATGTCTGGAGATGCTCTCCACCCCCACCCCCAGCCCACCCCAAAAGGCAGCCAGCAGGTGGGCTTGGGTACCTGTCTTTGGGGCCTGGTGCTCTCAGCAGGCAGCAGAAAGCGCTGGCCCAGAACAGTGGCCACACGGGCAGAGTGCGTGTGGTCCCCGAGCAGAGGGCAGAGCCGTAGTGCCATGTGCACCTGTAGCTGGCTGGGAAACGCTAGAAGACAAGAGAGACAGGACAGATGGCAGGCAGAGGCTCTTTCTGTCCACCCGGTATTGCCCCTCCCCTTTCCCCTGGGGAGATGCCACCCCCATTCTCAGATGGTGTGGTTTCAGAGAGGTGAATGCTACCACCGCTGCCCGTGGAGAGGGGTGCATGACCAGGTCGCGACAGTCAGCTGTTAATCCACTGGCCCTGCGGGATTCGTCCATGAAGAGGGGCAACCCTGAATTTACTGTGAAGCTACTGGGAATGAGGAACACTCTTTCCCACTGGGGTGTGAGGCTGGGGCTGCTGGAGCGCCTGCCATCTCTGCCCCCTCGGGGAGAGCCTGTGGGAGGAAGAAGCCAGCGGGCAGGAGGCGAAAAGAAAGTGAGAAACAGCTTCCTGATAATATCCTCCGAGCCTCCGGATGCAGCCAGGCCTGAACTTTGAGTTACCTGAGCCAATAACTTCCCCTTTTAGATTACACCAACTTGAACTGGTTTTGGGGAAACTTAAATGGTACAAAATTGTTCACATAAGTAAACTTATTAATCCTCCTGACAACCCTATAAGGTGAGTTCTATGATCATTCCCACCTTATAGACAGGAAAACCAAAGCTCACAAAGAAGTGACTGGCCCACCGTAAGCTGGGATTCAAACCCAGGAGCTGTCCTCTGCTTTCACATCTGGCAATATGCTGGACTGGATAATCTAAAAATCCACTTCTTATAAACCACCTAGAAACACTGGAAAAGTTTAATGATCATCCTTCTAAATACACAGCTGGGCACAGAGGAAAGTAAGGTCCCCAGACGAAGATACAAAAGGAAAACAAATCCAGAGCACAGGGAAGCCAACGTTTCACCTATTCCAGGATACTGCCAATCCTGGGATGCAGGGGGCTTGGGTTTAAGTAGCTACAAGGGGCCAGGGGTGAGGTCTTGGTGCCCAAATGAAATCAGAGAGGCTACATCTTCATTGACAGGATGGACGAGGAGAAAAAGCCAGCCACCAAGGAAGGGAGATGAGAACCCTAGGTCTGGATGAGGGGAAGAAAAAAATTCACAACCGTGAGCTGCTCTCTCAGGTTTGGGGCTCTAATACCACTTGCTGTGAACTTCCAACTGAAACATTAATATTTAGGTCCTGAAGCAGTGACATGGGGCACTCAGCAGAAGCAAAGGCAGAACCTCTCCTGAAGTCGCCACCTCCAATGA